TTGGTATCGTAAGGGATCGGCCACGCATCGACTACACCCAGTTTTGCCAGCCACTCCAAGCAGCTCGAGCGACCGGGGTCATAGCGCACGTTAGGAGACGACAAATTTAGCTTGGGGTTCAAGGGAGTGTTGAGATCACCCAACACCAGGTGTATCGCCTGATCTTCAAACTCCTCAATCTCCAGTCTTAAAAGAAATGTTGTTTTTCTTGCATGTCTACTGGCGCATACACGTTGTGAATGTAGATGGGAGTACCTTCTGCTACCGCATTCACAACGATGTATCGATCAAGAACGGACAGCTTGCAGATCTCTTCCACCGTGTCGTAGTTTGGAATATCGGAACGAAGCAACGTAAGAACTTCTTTGCTTCTTCCTCGCATTGGTCGATCAAGAAAGCTGTTGGGATCATTTACGAAGACTTTGTGCGTGAAGCTTGAGTCTAGGTGAAACTTGAAATTGGACAGTGTGTTTTGTCGCTGAATCTGGTCTCTTGGATACAAGCCACCGAGTGTTTTGAGAGCAAGTTGTCGATGACTAAATGACCATTTTTTAATACCATTAGTGCTGACGGTCAGAACACTGATGTTGCTCCAGGTGGTGTTCGATGGGAAAACTTGAGTAACGAGTGGCTAAATTCCCGCTACCAAATACCACCTCTTTCTCAACAATTTGGAGCTACAACACCGACTCATTAACCGGGTAGAACCCATCAAGCTGCTGCAGTTCTTCCAGGTCGTCGAGCAAAAACCCTTGTCACTGTATTTCGCTCCATTGCTGTATACCGTGAGAGCCTAACTTGGACCGCAGGAGCATGAGAAGTGTATTGGGGTGAAGCAGTCTTGCGTGGTGAGCGGGGATCCACTCCGCTGGCTGACCAGTGAGATACTGAACCCAGTGATCGTTGCAGAAGATCGTAGGCGCTATCGACATCAGCATGATCTTGAAGAAGCTGACTGCCTTTGTCGCCTGAGAGAGTTCGTTCACCTGTTCAGATGATCGCCT